CCTTCACTTCTGTCTTTTGCAGCTGCATTTGTTTCACAAGAGACAGCAAGCCTGTGTTGTTGCCATTTACTTAAAGACTRCCCTCCACCATAGCATCTATAAGTTAGATCAATGAAATTTGCTTTATATAATTGAATATAATTCTATAATTCTGTTAATTTGTAATTTATTTAACACCATGACATTTATATGTACACTTGCAACTAGAATGCAAACATTACAAGTGTGCAAATACTGCTAGATTATGCTAACTCTATTGTTTAGTTTAATTAAACACTATTTAGTATTAAATAGTGGTAAGGGTTGCACACATTTAATGTATGTACATTTAAYTCATGACACGTCAATAGGACTATCTTACTATGTAGCTTAGTGTATTAAATTGTAAGTTTAATTGAATCAAAGGAGATCTACAAAATAATATAATATTATAATATGATATGGTTATTTTTAAAAYATGAAYTAATATACCTTAAAAATGCTGTTTCTTCCATCTGTTTTTCCATGTTCTTTTTTGAGTGCCTGTAGTAATGCCTCCTATCATTCCTCCTCTCATTTGGAGTTTTGCATTGGAGATTTAGTTCAGGGACATAAGCCAAGGCTTCAGCAAAACTTGTTTTAAATGTCTCTTCAAATAGAGGACTCACTTTATCATATATTGCTTTAGCAGCATTCTTAATGTTGGTTTTTGTAGGCTTACAGTTTTCCTTAAGTTTCCTTACTTCTGTATCAGCAGCAAATACAGGATTGGCTTTTGCCTTACTCTTCAGTACATTTGACTTAACGGGGAAATATGCTTGAGTAGAAACATATCTAACCTTGCAGCCTTTGCAATTCGCAAAAGAGTGTTCTTTTTTTCGTGGGGATGAAAGCTTCTTCCAATTTTCAATAGAAAACACTTCTAAATATTCGGCCTTTTCTTTAGCCTTTCTGAAGTTCCACTTCGTAAACGTGGCTCTCAATCMGGGTAGCTTCTTGTGAAATTTTAAAGAATCTATTAAGAACTGTTCCCCACATTCGTTAAAAGCAATATTGAATTCTTTAAAGATTTCCTGCTTTACACGAGCTTGAAATTTCGTGCTGCTTTCTCCTTGTTGTTTTCGTAGAAATCCCGCGGTTTTTCGAGAGAGCTCTAAAGCCGCAACTCTYGCAAATCCACACGTATTTGGACACAAAAATGTCCCAGACATTCTACTTTTAACTTCTTCTTTCGATGTGATAAGATTTTGAATGTAATATTATAGAAAAGCACGATAAAAACCAGAAAAACTCCACTAACAAATTCCACAACTACAACGACTTCAAACCTCCCGCCTAAACTAAGGACATGCGCAAGAAATAGTAAACGTACGTATTAATATAATTAGATTTTAATTCAAGTCACGAATAACCTTATGTTCACAAAATTATACAACAACATGTATATAAATCTTCGTCGGCAGTTATCGCTTGTTGTTTACAAGCTGTTTGTACAAAATTCGTGTTATTACTATCAAGAAATACACCAGTGATGTGACCAAACCAGTATTTAAACTGTTTACCTTAATTTCCGACCTCTATTTTGGTCTGAACTGCAAAAATATAAAGGAAAAAGATCCAAACGCTATGTTTTCANCTTCAGCTTCTTCCTCATTGCCCCACTATCATTGGTGTTTATATCATGAGTTAACTCATTAAGCCTTTCAAGTTCAGCCTGTATGAGCTCGTCATCCATTTCATCTATTTGTTGATCCCTTGTTGCTCTTAGGTATTTGCTATGTTTTTTTAACATGTTCTCTCTTATTTCTTTTAAAGGTGCCTTCCTTCCATGCGTGGTGATTTCAACTTTCTTGATCTCAATATCATTGGTAAGCACAAGCTTTTCATACTGTTAGATAAAAATAACAATTTTTAATATTTATTCATGAATATCAAAATTCTAATATTTTATATAATGCAAACTGTATAACACCTTTTACTGAGTGGAGATAATGTGTGTTTAACTTAACCTACCTTTTTAGGGACAATCATCTCTCCTATTGTGTACTCCTTGGATTCTAATTTGTCTGTCAATTTTCTTTTTAATTCTTCAATGCTGATCTCAGTTGGTACTGTAATTTCTCCTCCAGCACCTCTCCTCTTTTTCCTTCTGATTACCTGTGTGTCCACACTAATTGTTCGTTTTGACCTGAAGCGTTGTACATCAACACCTTCTGAAATGAGCCATCCTTTGACTATTTGGCCAGCATTACTTGGCAGTTGGCCAGACTTGTTGATGATGTTATATCTGGATGCCAGTTCTGAGTAGTTAATGAGATGGTTGTCTTCATATCCTTCCACCTCTGCTTTCATCGCATCTTTGTCCCACAATATATGTGACAAGTTCMCAGTGTGGTCTTTCTTCTTTTGTTTGCATTTCAAACCTTCACTTCTGTCTTTTGCAGCTGCATTTGTTTCACAAGAGACAGCAAGCCTGTGTTGTTGCCATTTACTTAAAAGACTGCCCTCCAAAATAGCATATATAAGTTAGATCAATGAAATTGCAGATCTCCTCCATATTATAATTGTATCTTAGAGTTAAAAAGATTTCACAACAAGCGCGATACTTGGGCAAAATGGACCCCTGAAAAATAGGAATGCCCAGATTTCGACTATTTGGTACACCGACAAGACTGGGAATCGCGTCTTTTCGTCTCCAGTTTTAGAGTCGAAATCATCTTTTGCAAATCGAAATTCGACGTTTTTTGAAATTGGCCATTCCAGGTCTTTAGTGTTTTTTGCATTTTTGTTTTGTAGAAGTCTCTGCAGATCTAGCCACAGCCCCCTTTTCGACACCAAGCACAGCAAACCTAGATTTSTCAATTGCGCGRCCRATGTGCRTCATGGGAGTCTGGTTCAAACTCGACAGGGAGCAACCAACATTCCTGTTTTCATAGTTTTTTTTAAGTGCCAAGCCACTCGCACCTACAGGCAAAATATTGCACCGATTGCATTCTTTGGATGTTAAAACTTGCCAATTTTACCTTGGTAGGTTCTGAAATCTGCCACAGAACGACTAGGGAGGCGACCTTCCTCTAACGTCGGCAATTCAAAGCTAACTTCGTATTGGCGACATTGTCTTCGAAAAATCGCTTCCCGCCTCTGATTTCTTCCAGAAGAGTGTCTCTGCCGCCTAGTCGAGCTTTATAATGCAGTCCTAGGGGCTTCTGTGGCAGCAAATGACTCGAAAAATCACTTAAAAACGGTTTTTGGGCGAATTTGAGAGYRAGTGCTGGCTAAWTTAGCGACCSGTCTCAAATTCACCGGGCGTCGCTGATGTAAACAATCTTATAGGAATGTGAATCTACAATAGTTTGATTGACAACTCCATATATGGGGTACATTTAATTTTTTGAAATATCAGTCTCGAAAACAACCTTAAATCCAAAATAAATCGCGGACTTTAAAGGGTTAAATAGTGGTAAGGGTTGCACACATTTAATGTATGTACGTTTAACTCATGACACCAATAGGACTATCTTACTATGTAGCTCAGTGCATTAAATTGTTAGTTTAATTGAATCAAAGGAGATCTACAAAATAATATAATATAATAATATGATATGATTATTTGTAAAATATGAACTAATATACCTTAAAAATGCTGTTTCTTCCATTTGTTTTTCCATGTTCTTTTTTGAGTGCCTGTAGTAATGCATCCTTTCATTCCTCCTCTCATTTGGAGTTTTGCATTGGAGATTTAGTTCAGGGACATAAGCCAAGGCTTCAGCAAAACTTGTTTTAAATAATGTCTCTTCAAATAGAGGACTCACTTTATCATATATTGCGTTAGCCGCATTCTTTGTAGGCTTACAATTTTCCTTAAGTTTCCTTACTTCTGTATCAGCAGCAAATACAGGATTGGCTTTTGCCTTACTCTTCAGTACATTTGACTTAACCGGGAAATATGGTTGAGTAGAAACATATCTAACCTTGCAGCCTTTGCAATTTGCAAAAGAGTGTTCTTTTTTTCATGGGGATGAAAGCTTCTTCCAATTTTCAATAGAAAACACTTCTAAATTTTCGGCCTTTTCTTTAGCCTTTCTGAAGTTCCACTTCGTAAACGTGGCTCTCAATCCGGGTAGCTTCTTGTGAAATTATCTATTTTAGAAAATTAAAAGAACTAAAAAAAAAAGAAAAAGAAAAAAGAAAGAACTGTTCCCCACATTCGTTAAAAGCAATATTGAATTCTTTAAAGATTTCGTGTTATTACTATCAAGAAATACACCAGTGATGTGACCAAACCAGTATTTAAACTGTTTACCTTAATTTCCGACCTCTATTTTGGTCTGAACTGCAAAAATATAAAGGAAAACGATCCAAACGCTATGTTTTCAGTCAGCCATCTTTTTTTATAGCTAGACACTTCATGATCTTTTACGGTCCTTTCATTGGTTATTAAAGTCGGGGGACACTGTATTAGCATCACATGAAGTATTGTTGTATTTTTTTAAGAAACCGCTTACCATGGTGTT